TTCATCCCATTCACATTCACAGTTATGATTACTAACTATGTATTTCCCTCCATCCTGTTTTTCCTCTCTTTCCCTCTTCATAGTGTTTTCTTCTGTCTTCCACCTCCCCTGATCTGCCCTCCTTTCTGTCAAGCCCTCCCCCCTTTACTTGCTCTCCTCCCCTCCTACTTCCCTATTGGGTATGATAGATTTCTAGGTTCTCCTGATTGTGTATATGATTCCCTCTTTGAGGCTGATGAGAGTAAGGTTCAAGCGATGCCCGTAGCCTACCCTCCCATCATCCCTTCCACTGTAATAGGTCTTTTGAGCTTCTTCATGTGAGATAATTTACCCCATTCTACTTCTCCCTTCCTTCTGCACCCTATGTACTCCTCTTTTTCATCCCTTAATTATTTTTTATGTCATCCCCCCAAATTTGCTTTATACCCATACCCTCTGTCTATGTATAGTCCTTCTAGCTGTACTGTTAGTAATACAGTTTTGTTTTTTTTTACAAGGCATTTGGGGTTAAGTGACTTGCCTAGGGTCACACAGCTAGTAAGTGTCAAATGTCTGGTCTGAGACCAGATTTGAACTCAGGTCCTCCTGACTCCAGGGCCGGTGCTCTATCCACTGTGCCAACTAGCTGCTCCAAGTAATACAATTTTTGAGAATTACAAGTATCATCATGTAGGGATGTAAACGGTTTAGCTCTATTGAATCCCTTATGTTTTCTTTTCCCTTTTTACCTGCTTATGCTTCTTTTGGGTCTTGATATTTTGGGTCTTGATTTTTGGTTTCATTCTGGTCTTCTCCTTATGAAAGTTTGAAATACTTCTATTTCATTGAATGACTATTTTTTCCCTTGATGTATTATGCTTAATTTTTCGGGATAAGTGATTCTTGGTTGTAGTCTTTGCTCCTTTGCCTTCTGGAATATCCCCATGACCTCTGACCTTTTAATGTTACAGCTTCTAAGTCCTGTGTAATCCTGATTGTGGCTTCCCAATATTTGAATTGTTTCTTTCTGGCCACTTGCAATACTTTTTCTTTGACCTGATAGTTCTGAATTTTGGCTATAATGTTCCATGGAGTTTTTATTTTGGGATCTCTCTTCTGAGGTGATCAGTGGATTCTTTCAGTGCCTGTTTTGTCCTTAGGTTTTAGGATATCAGGGCAGTTTTCCTTGGTAAGTTCTTGAAAGATGCTGTTCAGGTCCTCCTTTTGATTATGGCTTTCAGGTGGTCCAGTGATTCTGACATTTTCTCTCCTGGATTTATTTTCCAGGTCAGTTGATTTTCCCATGAAGTATTTTACATTTTCTTCTATTTTTTCATTCTTTTGAATTTGTTTGGTTGTTCTTGATGTCTCACAGAGTTATTAGATTCCACTTGCCCAGTTCTAACTTTTAAAGAGTTGTTTTTCTCAATTAGCTTTTGTACTTTTCCATTTGGTCAATTCTGCTTTTTAAGCAGTTGTTTTCTTTTTGCAAACTGTTGACTCTTTTTTCATAATTCTCTTGTATCACTCTCATTTCTTTTCCCACTATTTCTTCTGCCTCTCTTATATGATTTTTGAACTCTTTTTTGAGCTCTTCCATGAGTTCTTTCTAGGCTTGAGACCACTTCCTGCTTTTCTTTGGGGTTTTGCCCAAAGGTGTTTTGATGTTGTTGTCCTTTTCTGAGTTTGTGTCTTGATCTTCCTTGTCACTATAGTAATTTTCTGTGGTTAGATTCTTTTTTTGTTCTTTTTTGGTCATCTTTTTTGGCCTTTTTCTGCTCTCAGGGTAGAATGGGCACTGTATTGGGCTTGTTGTGGCTGCAGACTCTGGCTGTTTACTTGGTGCTGCACTGATATTGCCCTGAGGCCCATGGGGGATGCTTGTGCTGCTCTGAGTGGCTGGGGTGGGGGGTTATTGGTGCTGCTGGAGGCTGTAGGGGTCTGGCATCTTAACCTGGTGCTGAGCTGGGGTCCCAGTGTTGGTATCTGGCATGTGCTGAATCTGGTGGGGTGTTTCTGCATTTCCCCGGGCATACACTGAAACCCGTGGTGCTTTTCATAACTGGTGTCTGCCCATCCCTTGGCTATGCTGAGGGACCCATGGGGTCCTGATGTTAATGTTTGCCTGCTCCAGCACACTGGATCAGGATCTCTCATTGGTTTGCTGAGATGGGGCTCGCCGCTGGCTTCCTGGGACGCTTCTTGTCCTGGACTGTACTTTTACCTGAGTGAGACAGACCTGTCCAAGTTTCTTGGGCTCAAAGATTGTTTCACCCCATCTTGTTGCTGGTTCTGCTCTTCCATGTTTTGTTTGGGGTCTCTACTTTATGGTTGTTTAGAGGTGCATATGGGAGAGTTACAGCAATTTATTGCTTACTCCACCATCTTGCCTTCCAGAAGTCTGTATATTAAAAAAAAAAATTTAATAGAAAAGTTCATGGACCCCTGATTTAGAATCCCTGCTCTAGAGCCATTAACAAATTTTTGTCTTGTTTTTTTTTTAAAAGTATATCCCTCCCTCACCCAGAGAGCTATCCCTTATAACAGAATAAAAAAGAGGAAAAATTGACAGTGTAGCAAAATTAATCAACACATCAATCAAGTCTGACAGAATATATAATGTTTTACATAGTCCTCTACCTCTGAAAAGAAGGGAGAAAGGTACATTCTCATGCCTCTTCAAGTCATACTTGATCATTATAAATATGCAGTGTTCAGTTTCAAATAGTGTTCTTGTTTACGTTTACATTTCTGTAGCCATTGTGTGAATTATTTTCCTGGTACTGCTTATTTTACTTTATATTAATTCATGTCTTCCAGTGCTTTCCTGTAGTCCCACTGTAGTCACTGTTTCTTATGGGACAGCAGTATGCCATCACGTTCATGTACTATGTAGCCATTCCTCAGTTATCAGTATGGACTTTGTTTCAAGTTCTTTACAACCATTAAAAATGGTACTATAAATATCTTGGTGTGTATTGAAGTTTTCTTTTTAATCATTGACGTTCTTTGGAGATAAAGCACTGAGATCTCTGGCTCAAAGGTTATGGACATTTTTGTGACTTTATTAACATAATTCTATATTCTCTAGAATGGTTTGACCAATGCACAGCTCTACCAATAGTTGCTTTAGTGTATGCCTTTCTTTCCACAATATCTTCACTGTTTATTGACTCTTCCCATCTTTTCTCATCTTTGTCAGTTTGCTTTGTGTGAGCTAAAACCTCCAAGTTATTTTGTTGTGTTTCTTTTATTTGTGTTTTGGAGCAGTCTTTCATATGATTGTTAATAGTTTGCAATTCTCCTTTTGAGAACTGTTTGCTCTCCACTTTGAAAATTTATCCACTGGAGAATTGCTTAACTAAAACCAATTTTTTGCCTGAGTGTAGTGTGGCAGCTTCTAAAATTCTGCTTTGGTGATGGACCTTTGGGTGATGACAAGATAATTCTTCTTGTTGTACGGGGTTGTACTTTCTGATTAGCATTGGTGGCCATTTACCAATAAAAATTACTTTTTCTGTGAAATATTTTTTAACTTTAGAACAAATAACCAAATAACAGATTGCAAATAGATATAATTTGAAGATCCTCATATATTCACTAGGGTACACATTTTACTCTTAACTTCTTGCCTAACTACATCCATTTCTCTCTGTTGGAATGTGAGCATTTTTCTGAAGCAGTAGTACTCGAGTTTTTCTAGGTTCACCTATCCTTCCATCCCTGCCACTCCTTCCTCTTCCATACCTTCAATACTGATTACCATGAGGAGTTGATAAAGATGGAATAGGAATAAGATAGTGTATTTCAAATTTCTTTACTCTTGTTTCCTGATTATTTTTTCAGATCCAGCCTGATTTCTCTTAGACCAAGGGAATCAGTGGCATGTACTGATTTAAAGAATTAATTTTATGTTAACACTGATGCTATGCTTATTTTGATTTAGTCAGATCTGTAGCCTTTTTCTGAGCTCTTAGCTAATGGGCAGGCATCTTATATGTACAGGATGGAAACAGATTAGAAAGAGCACACAGAGTCATTGACTCAGTCTTATGATTAAGGCTTAATTGGTTCTGCTCACAAGGATGTTTTATTTACAGCTCTCTGGGCAGTACAAAGAATATAAACTATTCTTTCTTACTTGGCCTTCTTTGTGATTGATGGTTGCAGAATTCTAGTTTGACAGGGATTTTTTTTAGATAGGAGACAGTTGAAAGCATTAAATCTGTGACTTGAGGAACATTGGCTATATAGAATAGCTACTGAAAGGAAGTGAATAATGAGATGAGAGAGAATTGACAGTGAAACAAGGAAATAAAAAGCCATGTTTGTTTTTGAGGAAGGCTTGGGCGCCCTCTGGTGTTGCCTCTCAGGATATTTTTGCAATTCTGTTTTCCATCTTAGTTGCAATGCTGAATCAGAAGATCATAAATCTACAGCTGGAAGGGACTCAGAGACCATTTAGATTAATTCGCTCATTGTACAGATGGGAAACCTGAGACCCAGGGCAGTTATATATGTTACCCAAGGTCGTGCAGATTGTAAGGTCCAGAGGCAAGATTTGAAGTCAGGCCATCCTGGCTTTATAGCCAGTGCTCTTTGGCTATCTTGTCCAGCCTCCTCATTTTATAGATGAAGAAACTAAACCTCTCTCGCTCATGTTCACACAAGGTCATAAATTTGAACAAGATCACAGAAGTATTAACTAGAAGAGCTGGAATTTGAGTCTAGGTCTTTAGCTTTTTGCTTCATCCTTAATTTATCTAAAAAAATGAGGTACAGAGTGGGGTGGTCATGAAGAAATATATGTGTGTACATGCATATGCATGTATATGCTTAAGTGTGATCTAACTAGCCACTTCCCAAGCATAGATGGATATGGATCATTTCTTTCAGGTATGGAAATTAATGCCATTGCATTTAGTTGAATTATGTTCTTTCCAAGAGAAAACAAATAGAGAAAATTAATCTTACCTTTTGTAATTGTCAACTGATTTTTTTGTCATAATTTCTTTTCACAGTGGGATGTCAAACACTTTTGTTGGAAAGTCAAATCATCACTGTCATATGACTGCATATGAAAAAACCTTTCCTATTAAGCCTGTTACAAGTCCATCGTGGAGTGGTTCATGTCGTCGTAATCTTTTAAGCCCAAAGAAAACCCAGAGGCGATATATTAGTACAGCAGAAGAGGTAAGAAAAGCTGTTGGTATTCAAAGGTGTGATCTCTTGCCTCACTCAGCTATCTGATATCCCAGTTTGCCTTTATTTTTCATCATTTTTGTTTTTTTAAATTTCTTTCTTATTTTTCATGATGTCTTTTATTTTGAAATTACATTCACTTCTGAATCTTCCCTCCCTTCTCTTACCTAGTGAGCCCTTTCTTATAGTAAAAAGTTAAAAAAGAGGAAAAAAATCAGTTCAGCAAAACCAAACGATAAATCATCTGTGTCTGACAGTATATACAATATTCTATACTTAGTCCCCCACCTCTTGACGCCATCTGGGTTCAAGCTTGGTCATTATAATTACTCTTGTTCAGTTTTGTTTTCTTTTGTTCTTTTCATTTACGTTGTTGTAATCTTGTATATTGTTTTTCTGGGTCTGCTTACTTCATTCTGTATCAGTTCATATTAATTTTTCTGTCTTTCTCTGTATTCTTCAAATTCATCATTTCTTATAACACAGTGGTTGTATTACCTTCATCTATCTCAATTTATTTAGCTAGTCTCCAGTTGAAGGGCATTGACTTTGCTTCCATTTCTTTGACACCACACAAAGTGCTACAGTGAATGATTTGGCTTCTATGAGACTTTTTTCTGCCTTTTATTTGTGTAGAGTATATGCCTAGCAGTAAAATTTCTGGGTCAAAGATTATGGATATTTTAGTGACTTTCTTGGCATTATTCCATATTTCTTTTCAGAATGGTTAAAACAATTCACAATTCCACCAACAATGTATTAATATGTTTGTGTTCCTGCAGCTCTTCCAGTATTCACCATTTCTCTTTTTTCATCTTTGCCAGTTGCTGGGTATAGGTTTTGTTTTATATTCTCTAATGAGTGATTTGGGTCAATCTTTTGTATAATTGTTAGTAGTTTGAAATTCTTCTTTTGAAAACTTTTTGCTCCAATCTTGGGGAAGTTGAGATAATTTTATTGTCATTTTCCAAGTCAGTAGTTCTTTTGTAAAGCACTTCGTGTGACTAGGTTTTAAAAAAACTTTTCTTGAAGAAAAAAAATTTTTTTCTCCAGCTATAGTTATAAAAGTGACCTAATCTCATTCCTTTCTATTTTTTTATGGTATCTTGTCCATCTTTCTAGCCTTGCTGTGTTTCTATCTAATAATCACCCCAGCTGTCATTCACATTTTCTAAAGAAATAAAGGAGGTATTTTGGGTGGGTTCTTATTTTCTCTATTGCCCTCATTTCTTTCATTTTTTTGGGTGACAGATTTCGCTGAATTTTCTCTTCTCACTTGAGCAATGTCCATATTTCCCTTTCCTCATTTAGGATCTCACTTTAACCTTGCTTCCTTTGAACCTAATAGGCTAGATGAGTTAGATGTCATTTCTGTTAAATGACTTTCACTCTCAATCCATCTTTAAAAAACTCAACATAAAGAACAAGAAAAGAAGTGAAATCCAGTAGTCCTTGCACCCCATCCCCTTGTTCCCCAAAAAGAAGGAGAAAGGGTATGTATATGTGTGTTTGTATGTCATCATACTTGAGAATTAGAACGTTTTGTGACCATGGACTGTTATGTTTCTTTGGATGTTAAGAATATTCTGTTTGGCATTCAATTCTTTATGGACATTAAGCAAATGTTAAACACCAAAAGCCTGTGATTATGGTTTGATTATCAACTGCATGAAAGGAAATATAGTATGCAGTTGACAGATTCTTATTGAATACTTACTGTGTGCAAGGCTGTATGTTAGAGACCATTATAAAGATATGTAAGGTGTTATTATGTTTGTATAATATTTTGTAATTTTAAGAGTTTTCACATACATTATCTTGTATAATCCTGATGACAACTTCTTGAGGTAGATAGGATAGGTATTATCCTAGTTTTTCAGATGAGGAATTGAAATTGAGACCAGCTAAGGACCTTAACCACAGTCACACAGTGTGGTTTAATGGAAAGAGTTCTTGACTGTCTTTGTCAAGACCGGAGTTTAAATCCTGCCTCCTACACTTATTTGGGTAATAACTTTGGACAATAACTTCTCTAAACCTTAGTTTTTCAAATGTAAGATTGGAACACTTGTACTCACTACCTCTGGGTTATTGTGAGAACTAAATTAAATAGTGTATATGAAAATAGTTTGTAAATTTGTAAAGTGTCATACAAATGTAAGGAATTTCTATTAGTATTAATAGTAGTTATATGAGAAAACCACAAGTCTTTTGACTCCTTTCACTTTGCTACATTCTCTGGAGTATGGACCCTGCCCTCAAAGATTTAGTTGGAAAGATAAGACAAAAAATAAGTTAAATAGTGACGAGATGTCACAAAACAAAATATGACTAATTGCCGTATTATTGGTTATAAATGGTGTGATTTCTGTTGATTCCCTCCTAAAAACAAGAGGAAATAGGGAAAGAAGGTATCGAAGGACTAGAGTGACAGAACAGTCAATCAATAAACATTTATTAAGTACCTACTATGTGCAGGGCACTGTGCTAAGCTCGGGATACAAAAAATGTGGAAGATAATATCTGCCTTCGAGGAGTTCACAGTCTAACGGGGGGGGTGGTGATAACAAACAAATATATGCAAAGAAGCTATATACAGGATAAATAGGAAATAATTAACAGAGGGAAAACACTAGAATTTAGAGAGGTTTGGAAAGGCTTCCTGTCGGAGATGGGATTTTGTTCAGTTGTTTCCAGTCATCTCTGACTCTTCGTGACCCCATTTGGGGTTTCCTTGGCAAAGATACTGGAATGGTTTGCCTTTTTCTTCTCCAACGCATTTTACACATGAGGAAGCTGAGGCAAGCAGGGTGAAGTGACTTGCTCAGGGTGACACAGCTAGTAAGTGTCTGAGGCCAGATTTGAATTCAGGAAGATGAGTCTTCTTGACTTCAGGCCCAGTGCTCTATCTCCTGTACCACCTAGGAAGCCAGTAGGTGGAAATGAAGAGGGATAGCATTCCAGACATAGAGGACAGTCAGAGAAAATGCCTGGAGCTGAGAAATAGAGTGTCTTGTTTGTGGAACAGTGAAGAGGTCAGTATCACTGGATCGAAGAGTCGATAAATACTTGGTGGGGAGGAAGGTATAAGAAGACTGGAAAGGTACAAGAGAGCTAGGTTATGAAGGGCTTTGAAATGTAAACAGAGGAGTTTATATTTGATGCTGGAGACAATAGGGAGCTATTGGAGTTTATTGAATATTGGGTAACATGGTTGGATTTGAGCTGTAACTCACTTTAGTGGCTGAGATGGGTTGGAGTAGTGAGAGACTCAAAACAGGCAGATCCACCAGCAGGCTATTGTAATTGTCCAGGTGTGAGGTGATGAGAGCCTGCACTATAGTGGTAGCAGTGTCAGAAGAGAGAAGGGCTCAAATATGAGAGATATTGCAGAGGTGAAATCAACAGGCCTTGGCAACAAATTGAAGGGGGACAAGTGGAGTGAGGAGTCAAGGATAACTCCTAAGTTGTGAGCCTGAGGAAACGGGAGGAAGATGATGCCATCTACAATAATAGGGAAGGTAGGGGCAGCTAGGTGGTGCGATGGATAGAGCACCGCCTGGTGTCAGGAGGACCTGAGTTCAAATCTGGCCTCAGACGCATAACACTCACTAGCTGTGTGACCCTGGGCAAGTCGCTTAACCCCAATTGCCTCATATAAAACAAAACAAAACAAGAATAATAGAGAAGGTAGGAAAAGAAAAGTTTAGGGGGAAAGATAAAGAGTTCTGTTCTGGACGTGTTTGTTTTAAAATGTCTATTGGACATCCAGTTTGAGATGTCTGAAAGGCAGTTGGAGATCCAAGATTGAAAGTCAGCAGAGAGTGGGCAGTTAGGTGGCGCAGTGGATAGGGCTCTGGCCTTGGAGTCAGGAGGACCTGAGTTCAAATCCGACCTCAGACACTTGACATCTTGACATGACACTAGCTGTGTGACCCAGGGCATGTAACTTAACCCTGATTGCCTCACCAAAAAGCAAAAAAAAAAAAGAAAGTCAGCAGAGAGGTTGGGGCAGAATAAGATTTGAGAATCATCAGTATAAAGTTGGTAATTAAATCCATGGGAGCTACCGAGATCAGTAAGCGAAGTAGTATAGAGGGAAAAGAGAAGAGAGTCCAGGACAAAACCCTTTGGGACACTTATGGTTGGCTGGTATGCTTTGGATAATGATCCAGCAAAGAAGACTGAGAAGGAGAGATCAGACAGGTAGCAGAAGCAGGAGAGAGTGCTGTCCTGAAAACCTAGAGAGAAGAGTGTCAAGGAGGAGAGGGTGATCAGTAGTGTCAAAGGCTACGGAGAAGTCAAGGAGAATGAAGACTGAGAAAAGGCCATTGGATTTGCGAGATCATTGGTAGTTTTGGAGAGAGCAGTTTTGTGGAATGATAAAGTCAGAAGCCAGATTGTGAAGGTCAAGAAGAGAGTGAGAGCTAGCAATACCACCACTAGGTTTGTATCCTAAGTAAAAGGAAAAGGACCTATATGTACAAAAATATTTATAGCAGCTCTTTTTTATGGTGGCAAAGAATTGGAAACGGAGGGGATGTATATCAATTGGGGAATGACTGAACAATTTTGTGGTATATGATTGTGATGGAATAGTATTGTGCTATAAGAAATATAGAGCAACTCAATCACTATTGATTAGAGAAATGCAAATTAAAACAACTCTGAGATAACACCTTACACATATCAGATTGGCTAATATGACAGAAAAGGAAAATGAAAAATGCTGGAGAAGATACAGGAAAATTGGAACACTAATGCATTGTTGGTGGAGTTGTGAACTGATTCAACCATTCTGGAGAGTAACTTGGAACTATGCCCACAGGACAAGCAAACTGTGCATATCCTTTGATCCAGCAATACCACTACTAGATCTGTATCCCAAAGAGATCATAAAAAAAGGGGAAAGGATCCACATGTACAAAAATATTTATAGCAGCTCTTTTTGTGGTGCAAAGAATTGGAAATTGAGGGGATGCCCATCAAATGGAGAATGGTTGAACAAGTTGTGGTATATGAACGTAATGAAATACTGTTGTGCTAGAAGAGATGATGAGCAGGCAGATTTCAGAAAAATCTGGAAAGATTTACATGAACTGATGGTGAGTGAAGTGAGCAGAACCAGGAGAACATTGTACACAGTAACAGCAACATTGTGCAACGATTAACTATGATAGACTTAGCTCTTCTCAGCAATACAGTGATCTAAGACAATTCCAAAAGACTTGTGATGGAAAATGCTATCCATATCCAGAGAAAGAACTATGGAGTCTGAATGCAGATTGAGGCATGCTATTTTCACTTTTTTTGTTGTTTTTTGCTTTTTCCTTCTCATGATTTTTCCCTTTTGTTCTGACTCTTCTTTTACAACATGATTAAAGTGGAAATATGTTTGACATGATTGTGCATGTATAACCTATATCAGATTGCTTACTTCTTGGGGAAGGATGAGAGAAGGAAAGAAGGGAGAAAAATTTAGAATTCAAAATTTTATAAAAAATGAATATCGAAAATTATCTTTGCATATAATTGGAAAAAAAATGAAATACTATTAAGGAAAAAAATCATTCTCAATTTAACACACATTCAAAAAAACCCATTTCTGTATACAAATTAGAACAGAAAAAGAGGATTATGTGTGAAACTACAAATCTCTGTTGTATATAGATTGCTTTTTAAAAAAAAGTATAAAGTAAATTAAACATGTTACACTTTCAAAGCTATCCTACTTGTCTGTGTTTCCATCTAAACTTCCTTTTGTTCCTGTGTGCCTTTTTTAACATTGTACTGGGGAAAGTCAATATGTATACAGATACATACGTACTAGTTAATTTGAAGAGGGAGAGACCATTAAAATTGGGGAAACCAGAAAAGGCTTCATGGAGGAAGTGACCTTTGAGTTGAGCTTCTAAGGAAGATAATGATCCTAAGGTGCTGACAGAAGGAGGGCCTGTATTTTAGGCGCGGAGTGTACAAAGGCACCACAATTCCTGACTGTTCCCTTTCTCTTCCTTAGGAACCTGCCTGAGTTTTGGCAGAACCTTGGAAAGTCCCAAACACTGCTTTCAGAAATAAATACTTGACTCTTTTTTTATTTTCTTCACAGACAGTTCGAGAAGGAGAGAGAGAGATCTACAGACAGTTGCTCCAGATGGTTACTGGAAAACAGTTTTCCATAGCCAAACCCACCACACATTTTCCTTTACACCTGTGAGTCACAGAAACACAAATTTCAAGTCAACCTGATGCCACCATTTAAATTACTTGATATTGAGATTGTATTCTTCTCTTGTTAGGTCTCGGTGCCTCAGTTCCAATAAGAGTGCTGTGGAAGATCCAGCGTTTAAAGATTCAAACTCCTATGTAGCTCAGACCATTGGCTCTGACACTCCATCGAGCAGCTCAACCAGCGTTTTAAATACCCGAGAACAGCTGTCCCACCCCACTATACCATTTCCCCAGTCTCCCTACCTTCCAGATGTTGCTACAAATGAATCCAAGAATTCTGATCTCCACAGTCAGCCTCACCAACATCCTTCTCCTCCACATCAGCCAAATCACATACCAGCTCCAAATGCTCAGTCTGAAGGTAAACCTATTGTTGTACAAAGAGTGTAACCAACTACTTGGTTTTTTTCCCCCCTAGTGTCTAATTTCTACTCCCAAATCAGAAATGCTATGTCTAGTCTGACTTAACTAGATCTGGAGGCTTACTAACTACAGTACAACTTGTGATTAACTAGACCTCAAAAAAATAGAATCCCCCAATTTTTAGATAAACATTTATGAGAGCAAGGCAAATGGCAAGAGACAAGCTAGTAACAATTTAACTGTGCACATTTAGACTTACAACCTACTCTTGAAGCTATTTTTTTTTTTACAATGGGACTTGTCATTCAAAAATATCCATTGGCTCTATGCTCAAGGTTGACATGATTGATGGTTGTTCATGGTTATTCTACTGAAGCACTTTGGGATCCTCAGTGTTGAAGGAAAGCAGTCCTGTGTTCTAAGCAGTTGGAAAAAGAACTCGAGCATACTTTCATAAAGCAGGGGAAGACAGTGTGCTGAAGATAGAGAGATGGGGCCTGCCCTGAAATCAGGAAGGGAGGCATCAATCTATGTAAAACAAAACAAAAAACATTTTGTTGGGAATCAAAGTAATCCTGGATCTGCCATTTACTACCTATGTGACCTTGGGCAAATCACAGAACCTCTCTGAGTCTCGGTTTCCCATTTTAAAATGAGGTGTTGGACCAAATAACCTCTTATGTCACTTCTAGCTCTAGATCATTAACCTTTTTTTTTTTTTGAGGCATTTGGTGTTAAGTGACTTGCTCAGAGTCACATAGCTAGTAAGTGTTATGTGTCTGAGGCTGGATTTGAACTCAGGTCCTCCTGACTCCAGGGGCAGTGCTCTATCCACTGAGCCACCTAGCTGCCCCTCTAAATCTATAATCTTGTAATGCTCCTATGACACTGGTTCAAGTCCTGCTTCTGACACATATTAGCTTTGTGACTGGGGAAGACATTTAGCTTCTCAGTGCCCTCAGTTCAACCTTCTAAGACTGTAATTTGTAGGCTGGTTGTCCATCTGCCTTTGTGGAGGAAGTTTCTGTGCTTGAAATTCCCAACACAAATGAAATCACAGTTTTGAAAACCCTTCTGTTGCCTTCTACCCCCTGAAAAAAAAAATCAGAAAAGTAGTTTCATAGATTATAGAAGGATTTTCAGTAAGTGTTGAATTGATGGGTTCTGCTTAACTTTTTCATTAACAAGATTAAGTTAACTAGAACACCCTGTTCACTGAAGCATTCTATTTTACTGTAATAGGTCTTTTTGCTGAACCCTGGGGTAACTTTTTCCCCCATACTTATGCATTGAATACTTTTGGCAATTAAAGCACATGATGATACTTGCCGAAGAAGGTAGGAGTTCTTCTCCATATTTTAATTTCTAATCACTTGTTTCTTCTCTACCTACACTTTAAAAAAATTCTTTGAAATTAAAATTTTTGTGTAGGGATGAAATCTTGAAAGTGCTTATATACTGTAAGGTTTGTGTTAAATGAATTAGTTGTTTTTACATTATATTCATTTCCAGATACATCCCTCTCACCTTTCCTATCCAACAAGTCATCCCTTGTAACAAAAGGTTTTTTTTTTTTTTTTTTTTGCTTAGGCAGTTGGGGTTAATTGACTTGCCCAGGGTCACACAGCTAGTAAGTGTCAAGTGTTTGGTCTGAGGCCGGATTTGAACTCAGGTCCTCCTGACTTCAAGGCCAGTGCTCTATCCACTGCACCACCTAGCTGCCCCAAAAGTTTTTTTTAAGAGTCACGTTTCCCACCTCAAGGTGGGAAGTGATAGTCTAGGTGTAGAATGAGACATACATTTTCAGACAGGATCAATATGTGGATTTGTTTTGCTTGATTATATTTATTGATTACAAGAAGTGATTTTAATTTTTTTGTTGTTATTGTGAGAGGGAGAGTTATGAGTAGTAATGATAATGATTTCCAAAAAAAAAGAAAGAAAAAAAATATCATTGAAAAATTTTAAGATTCACAGAAGAGAGCAAGAAGACATGGATAAGTTAGATGGTATTGTAACTACCATTTTAAACTTATGCTTTAAAAAAACTAAATTCTGTGTGATAGAGACAGAGTTTCATATGCCCCTTTTTCTGATTGTATATGGAAGAGATCACATTTGTTGATGTTTTTCAAATTCACAATACTTTTAAAAAAATTTTACAAAGAGAAAAAAAATTCAGCAAAGCTAGCTCATCAACCATATCAGACCGCATGTGTAATATTTCATACTCTTCCACCTCTGCAAAAAAGAGTGGGAGTGACATATTCTCCTCTCTTTTTGGGCTAGGCTTGGTCATTATAATTATACAGCATTCAGATTTTTTTTGTTCTTTCTGCTTATATTATTGTAGTCATTGTGTGTATTCTTTTTCCTGGTTCAGCTTTCTTTACTATGCATAAATTCATATCTCTTTCTGTGCTTTTCTGAATTCTTCATTGTTTCTTATGGCACAATAATATTCTCTTACATTCCTGTAACTATAGTTTGTTTATCCATTCCCCAATCAATGAGCATCTGCTTTGTTTCCATTTTTTTGCTACCACAAAGGCATTGCTTTTTTTGTTGTGTGTGGGACCTTTTTTCTGTCTTTTTCTTGCAGTATATTCCTAATTATAGGATCTTTGGGTTAATGGTATGGATATTTTAATGTCTTTCTTAGCACAGTTTGAAATTGCTTTCCAGAAGACATTAGCCTGTTCACATCTTCAGCCCTTTCAACATCGACTATTTTCATTTTTTTTTTGTCATCTTTACTAATTTACTAGGTGTGAAATGAAATCTCATAGTTGTTTTGATTTCTGTCTAGAGATGCTGAGGTTTTATGTGTGTATTTATTCTTTATCCTGCTCCTTTACTGAACCTTCAATTGTCTCAATTTCTTTGCTAATTCTTTGGGGCTTTTTAAGTAAAACATGTCTTCAGCTAGTAGCTATACTCTTGTTTCTTCTTTACCAGTGTTTATGCTTTTAACCTTTTTCTCTTATTGCTCTCACTAGTATTTGTAGAACCATGTTAAATAACAACAGGGAAAAGGGAGCATACCTGCTTTGCTCCTTTTGTGGGAGAGATGTTCATCTCAGGATTTGCTTCTTAATGTTATTGTATTTCATCATGACAATTTATGCTGCAGGATTTTTCAGCTGGAAATTTAATGTTTTCTGACATTAGATCTGGTTCTCATCACTTTGTGCATTCGTTAGCCCTTCTAACTCATCACAGTTTCATCCAACTGTGTTCTCTTTGTGGAACTGGAATATAGCCAAGAATGGGAACTTGCATTGTAACTGATGTACCAGGGGCAGGTAGCTGGTGCAGTGGATAGAGTACCGGCCCTGGAGTCAGGAGGACCTGAGTTCAAATCCGGCCTCAGACACTTGACACTAGCTGTGTGACGCTGGGCAAGTCACTTCACCCCATTGCCTCACCAGAAAAAATTAAAAATGTATCAAAGTACTATTGATTATTACTAATAATTGTATAAGTAATTATTACTTCTTATTAATTGAGTGTTCTTTGTTTTTGTCTAGGATCAGACTCTGTCATTTTACTCAAGGTGAAAGATTCCAGAGCTCCCACTCACAGGTAAACTTTGGAAACATCCATGTTCTTGCACAAGTGTGGAAAGCAAGCCAGTAGGAATCCCTGTCCAATGAAGACTCCCTTGATTGGAGTGAGGGCATAAGGAATATGAGGCAGGATTTTCTGTTAGTTGTTAGGCTAATAATATTTGGGAAGACAAGGAGATTCACTATTTAACACAATTAGTAAATACACATAGTTCTATACTGAGGCTTAGTTCTCTTAAAATAGCTCTTATGAAAGAAGGGGTTATTGGGGTAGGGTTGACCTTCACTACAGTAGGCATGGAGTTAAGTTGTTACCCTGTTTCTGTACGTACTATGTTATATTGGATATATGTGGAATCTTGTGGTTTTCAGTAAATAACTGTGATTGGGTTGAGTAAATTTTAATTCAAACGGGATTTTTTTTCTTGTCCTTTTAATTTTACTTAACTTTTTTATTGTATTTTGTTTTTCACATAACCTTCATTTCTCAATATATTTGTTTTTCCTTCCTTTTCCTTGAGAACCATTCTTCTTAAAAGAGTCAGATGAGCTTTCAAGAGCCTGTGTGTGCATATATTTTTAAGAGAATATAAATACATTTGACTAACATTACATTTTTAAGAAATTATGACAAACTCGCTTACTTTGAACCGTGTGGGGAAGAGAGTAATCGCTTCAGTTCAGTTTATTTATCTTGGACTGCGATGTGCTTCCTCATATTATGTTGATCTCTTCTCTGGCCCCTTGGGATAGTACTAACCTTTATTTCTTTGCCAAACTTTGGCCCTTGTCTCTTGATTTTATTAATTTGTGTACAGTTCCTATATGACTATTTTCCTTTGATGCCCAAGTATAGCTTTTTTTTTTTTAAGACCTATAATTTCATTGGTGTTGGAGGCCTCACTGTTAAGGAACTTCCTTGACCAATGCATTTCAGTACCTTCTCTGTGTCGTATGATTTTAGAGAATTGTCTAGAAGCACTGAGAGGTTAGATGACTCACCCAGGATCACAAAGCTAGTGTGTGTTTGGGGCAGGACTTGAACTCAGGGCTTCCTGATTCTGAGGCTAGCTCTGTAATTACTATTCCATGCTGCCTATCACCTTTCTGCCCAATCATAATTATTTCATTTGGTCTAAATGTCTTTTAATTTGCTTCTAAGTTGTCACATTTAGTTCAGTTTTAAGTCCTTGGTTACTTAGTGAAACTATTTCCACTTTTCCATAAGCCTACTGTTCATTTGTCACATTTTCTTTTCCTCTTCTGTAGTTCTTCCTTCTTCCAGGCAGAGCTGTGGATCAAAGAATTGTAAGTTACTTATTTTTGGAATGTTTTTACTTTTTTTCTATCCAATTTTTAATCCAAGTAGCAAGCCAGTCATCTGGTTAGTCAATAAGAATTATTCAATTACACTGTCGGTTGATTTTTTAAAAATTCTACTGGAATTAAAGCATTTTAAATACTTAGTTTTGTTAGATATAAAATAATAGTTGAAGCCAAGTTCAATTGGAAAAGTATTTCAGTGTTAGTCATTATTTAGAAATGGAAAGTAAATGTTCTTTTAGTTTTCACATTGGTAAATATAATGTACTAACATTTCAGAGATCCAGAGTACACTGGCAAAAGTGCTAGAGCCTTTAGCGCTCAGTTTCCAAAACAGATATGCTAAATGGGTTTTTTCAGTATTCCATACCAGGACTGGTTCTTGCTCCAGAAACCCAGGCTGTGGAGACTTCATACATAGTTATTCCTCCAACCTGCTACCAGCCTTCCTACTTTTACTAATGTCCCTTGCTGTCCTCTTTGGATCCTTGGGGGGAAAACCCCCAATATATTTTACCATAGCTTGCACACTCAGATTTTTTCCACAAATACAAATTGTGTTGAGAACCAATGAGACTAATAGAAAGGAAAAGTATTTTAAACCATCTTCTTGGCTTCTTTTCGGCCCTGAGCACCCAGGATCATAGATAAAGAGCTGGACAGGATCTCAGAGGACATCTATTCCAGCCTTCTTTTTACAGTTGAGGAAACTGAGGTCCAGGGGGAGGGTAAGACCTAAATTAAGGTGAAGGTCACACAAGTAGTGTTCAGAGCCCAGGTCCTCTAATTCCAGAGCTAATGTTCTTTCCACTGTATTGTGTTGCATAATGGTGATATGTGTGCCATCCTGTAGAGAAAGTATTCTCACTTTATTCATTCTTAGTCAATTTGATTTAGTTTCTTTGGTCTGAGAAGGATATTAGAATGGATAAGAATAAGAAAGGGAAGGGAGGCTGGTACTTTGCACTGAAGACTGTGACTTGCAATTACTGTAGGGCATTAGATAAGACTTCCAGAGCCTTCATAGTAAATAATCACCAGAGCTAGTATGCTGATGTTGAGCTCTGATTGTCCTGTCATCCTTGGCGGTTTTTTGGAGGAATTGCATTGAATTGACCATTTACAAAGCTAATCAGTAGTGTAAGACAATCTTCTTCTAGAGTAGTGGTTTTATGTATCCCATGTATTTTGTAGCTCCGATGGTGCAGACGGTAAGTGGGTATGCTTACATAGAATGGTTTGGATATTATGAGTATGAACCTTACTGGGAGCTCACAATGTTGTTAGGGTTTTTCATTTCTGGTGCTCCCTTCAGGGCCAGAAGCAATTTCAGGCAGTGCTCCTTATTCCTCTCCCACTCCAATTTGAAGTAACCAAATCCCCTTTCATGGTTGTTTTTTTTTGGGGGGTGAGCAATTGTATGTAAACTCACATAATTCATATTTCATTCTGAATATGCATCTGAAATATGTTCAGTGCTAAAGAGATATCACTATTTGCATCATCTTTTTTTCCAATTCCTAGGACCAGTGTTTATGATTCTCGAGCCCGGGAGAGATTACGTAAAATTGAAGAACAGAAAGCTCTGGCATTACAGCTTCAAAACCAGGTAAAGGGGTTAAACAAGCCCATGAACTATCATCAACCCAGCCAAGCTGAGACTTTATAAAAGGGCACCTGAATTTGGGATGAAGCCTGTTGTAACAGCTTAGATGGTGCATTGTATGTTAAGTCTATCAAATATTCTGCAGGCTGAAAAAAGAATAGTTTTTCTTTCTCTCTCTGGCTTGCAGCACTCAGAGGTAGTAGGCCTAAGTACAGTTACTGCACAACCCTCTGATTCTGAAGGTCTCTCTTTCAGAGACTGCAAGAACAAGAGCATTCGGTACATGATTCGATAGATCTGCATCTTCGAGTGCCTCTTGAAAAGGAGATCCCTGTCACAATCACCCATGAAGAAGAGAAAGAACCTGGTAAGGTGACTGACAGTGAAGACGAATTTCCTGAAATCACAGAGGTGAGTTATATCCAAGGGATATTTATGAACAAGCAGATAGATCATGTTTTCTGCTCCATTGGAAAGACAGGAGCCTATTTCAGAGAGCAAAAGTAGAAGAATAGAAGAATTTCGTTTTCACTGCTCTTACTATGAAATGTTGATATTGAGCTTGATTTTATATTCGATAACATTGAAGTAATATTGATGATAGAACCCTGATTTCTTGGAGGAACTTCACTGAAACACCCTTTATAAATGTTACTATCTATTTTTACTGAGTAACACTTTTGTTTTTATATCACATTATCTTCCAAATAACTTTAACTCATATTTGACCCAGGAAATCTCTTATTACTTTCACAGTTGGTCAAAATTTGCCATGTACCTTCAAGTTAAACATTTGAATAAAGCCTCAATGGATATCAGTTCTTGAGCATTCTAGGTCTCAGAAATATGCTTCTTCAAGCAGTATAGGATGATTACTTGTTTGCCCTAAGACTGTGTACCATTTGAATGTACCTCCTCCCTTACCCTAAGATGTACTACCTTCCCTTCCCAGAGAGCCATCCCCCTTAAAAAAAGAATAAAAAAAGAAAAAAGAGGAAGGGAAAAATCAGTTTAGCAAAACTAACCAACCCATCAGTCGAGTGTGACAATGTATTTTGTGTTTTACGTTCACAGTGAGAGGAAGGTACATTTTCTCCTTTCTCCTTCATGGCCAAATATCATTAAAATTATACAACATTTGGTTTCTTTTGTTGTTGTTCTTCCCATTTATGTTGTTGTAGTTATTGTGTATATTGCTTTCCTGGTTCTTCTTATTTCACTTTGTATCAAGTCATCTGATCTTCATTAGGTCATCATCAGGTCATGCTTCTCTGAATTCTATTCATATTCATTGTTTCTTACAGCTCAGAAATATTCCATTACAGTTGTATACCCCAATTTATGTAGTCATTATCAAATTAATGGCCATCTACTTTGTTCCCAGTGCTACCAATGAGTTTTTAATGTTTTATGTGTTTGAAGATTTTGGTTTCAAAGAATAAGGTCAAAAATCTTTGCATGTTTTAATGAGCTACTAGTTAATCTATATTCTTCTTTACAAAGTTTTGTTGGTAATAAGTATATATCCTACATACATATTATATTTTTTATCAGAGAAAATAGCTCTCACAGGAAATAAATTTTTTTTTTAAAAAAGGTTACTTTTCCCAGAGAACTTGCAAACTAGTAAAACAAATGTATTGTTTTATTGAAAATGTTTTGGGCTAGAGCATAAAACTAGAAGACTTGATGAGCACTGAATGTTTGAAAGCAAAATTGGACTAGAGAATTGAAACAATATCCCAGGCTCAGATAGTCATGTGAAACATTAGTTTGGCCCTAACATAGACGTCTGTCAATCAATAAACATTACATACCTACTTTGTGCTAAGCACTGGGGATATAAAGAATGACAAAATATAGCCTCTGTTCCCTTTGCTCTCTGTATGTTCTCAAGGGGCACACAGTTAATAGGAGAGATAACATGCAAACATTTATGGACAAACAAGCTCTATGTAGGATAAATAGAGGAATAGAGGGAAGGCACTAGAGTTAAAGGATGTCAGAAAAGGCTCCCTGTAAAAGGTAGGTTTTAGCTAGGACTCGAAGGAAACCAGGGGGCAGAAATTGAGGAGGGAGAGCATTCCAGAAATAGGAGACAGCCAGGGAAAATTTCTGGAGTTGGGAGATGTTGGAACTGTCTTGTTTCAAGAACAGTAAGGAGGCCCCCTGTCATTTGAGCACAGAGTAAAAGAAAAGGATTAAGTGAAGAGAAGGGGAGGAAAAGATGCAATGGTGAACTCTTAAGTTGTCAGGAGGCCTACTGGAAAGGAACAGGAGCCAAAACATAGGTGAGAAGGATGGGGAAGTATTCCTTTGCATCTCAGTGAAGATTATAGCCTTGTGGTGATGGTGGTGGATCTCCAAGGATCAGTGGAGATTGGCACCTGACTGCAAAAAATGACATTTATTTGATTGGTTCTTTAGGAAATGGAGAAAGAAATAAAGAATGTGTTCCGTAATGGCAACCAGGATGAGGTTCTCAGTGAAGCATTCCGCCTGACTATCACCCGCAAGGATATTCAGACTCTCAACAACCTGAACTGGCTCAATGATGAGGTAATTTCTCATCTGTTTCAATGTTCAACCCTTTTTGGCTAAATGGAATATTAGTGAATGGGCCGTGAACATAAGAAGTAGATTCATAGACCAGCTTCATTTTTCCCCTATTGGTAGAAATTGGAAGGAGTAAAAAACATTTACTAACTGCCCATAATGTGCTGAAGCACTTTACAAATATCATCTCATTTAGTCCTCACAATAACTCTAGGAGGTAGATGCTTATTATTAACTCCATTATATAGACAAGGAAACTGAGGCAGGCAAAAGTTAAGTGACTTGCCCCAAGACACACGGCTAGTAAGTGACTGGGGCCGGATTTGAACTCATCAGAAAGATACTCCTTTCTCCTCCCCTTTCTGCCTGTAGTTGTTCCACTTCCTGACTCTGATCAGTTTTCTAAAACCTCTTCTAGTTTCATCTATCATCTTTTGAGCAGGCATCACATGAGTCACTGTTTCTTCTACTACCATCAGGCATTTCTACTTTACAAGCAGAAATTCTACTTTACCATATAAATCAGCTTCTATTTTTTTGGTTTTTATTTCCTCCTTTTGTCCCTGAAGGGAGGTGAGTAAAATGCTAGAAGTTAGGCACGAGAGCTTGAATCCCTAAGGAAGAGGCCCAAGCTTGCCACTTTAACTCAGAATTTTGACCTGGAGAAACGTCTCACTTTCATACTGGGTCAAAATTGACTTTGCAATATAGTTACTTTTAAGTTTTGAGCAGGGCCTGGCTAGAAATCAGTTGTGAGCATTCTAGGTATCAGAGATGTGCTCTTTAAAATAGCACAGGAGGATTATTTGTTTGTACTCTGAAACTATGTACTATTTGAACATGCTTCCTACCCTAACCCAAGACCCACTGTGTATCAGCCCTCCTGATGTGGTTACATGGCAAGAGGAAACAATCTAGCAAAATAACCCAATGAATTTGTTCAGGGATTTGTGGCAAGTTATAATTGGATGTGTCCAGTGATAGGACTCTCAAGCTGTGTCTGTTACTGCTGAAGACAGTTGGTGTCTAACCTAAAAGACATCGTAGAATTTTTTTGAAATTGGTATACTGCTCTATCTCATGTTGTTAACAAGGAAGATTCACATTTGTCTTTTCTCACTAAAGCTCAGAACTTCAAGTAAATTAGTATACCTCCCAATCTCATTTTATCTATCTTTCACCTAAGCAACTAGGGGTTTGTCTGATTTGGAGAAGATTGTTTCAAAGCCAAAGATGATAGCTGGGTTGGATATCTGTTCCTGATTATCCGCTTCTTAAGCTTACTTGGATGATTAGGGTCAGAGAACTCCCCTGACTCAGGATCTGGAGTAAGACTCAGTCCCAGTGTGCAATGCCAAACCAGTTGAGTGTTTTTAGTATTTTGTACAACTGAATATAGTAGATACCCAGATCCTGCTTTTTTAAGAACCTTCAGAAAAGTATCAGATTCTTGAATTTGAGTTGTCTCAAGTCAGTAGAGTCCTGGGGCTTTGATTGGATGGCATGGTGTCCTGAGTCCACCACTTTGGGCACCCTCTGGACCATGTCAGTCAGACTAGTTCTATTTTCTATTTTGCCACAAACCACTTTGCAAAAGGTGCATATCAGTGGCACATTACTCTCTCACTGTGGTATTTTGATTCAGAGAAAGGTCTGAAACTCTCCTATTCTTGGGGATGCTAGTCTTGTTTATCTGAACTCTGCAGAGTAGCATTAGGACTTTGGAGCAAGCAGTGTAAAAAAAAAAATAGCCTGACTTCCCCATAATTCTTTCAGAGGTGGGGGACTAAGGGTATGGAACATCACACATAATTTCCAGTTTTTTGAGTTTGTTAGTTTTGCTGAACTGTTTTTCCCCCCACTTTATTCTTTGTTATAAAGCAGCCATTCTCAAACCTTTTGGTCAAAGGACCTCTTTACACTCTTTAAAATTGTAGAGGAACCCTCCAAGACCTTTTGTTTATATGGGTTATATCTATCAATATTTACTGTATTGGAAATTAAAACATCTTAGGATTAATATTAAAGTAGTCTTGATCTCGTGGACCCGCTAAAAGTGTCTTGGAGATCCCCGAGGGTCCCCAAACCCTGTATTAAGAACTGCTGTTATAAAAGATGGCTCTCTGGGAGGGGAGATGCATTGGGAAATGTAGATGATATAAAATCAAAAGACATTAATAATTTATTTTTTAAAAAATAAGCCTGACCATATCACTGGGGAAGATGAGAACCAAAAGACAATCAGCTGCCTCATTGATTTGAAAACTTTGGCTTGAAGACACTGATTTATGATTTTATTTTATTTTTTATTTTTTTTTGCTCCCTCCTTCCTTACTAGTATTTGAGTAAAGTGGCTAACAGGACCAAGGATTGTAGTTTTTTTTTGGTCATACTTGGAAAGAGCCTTCCAGGGGGCAGCAGTGAGTGGCATATGAATTCAGTTCTCGTTTGCTTTTTTGATGAAAGCCCTTACTGAAGAATCATTTATCAGAGTTCTTTTTCATATCCTTGTATTCTTGAGAGGTGTGGCTCTTCACACTTAGGGAGAAGGAGTCAAGGCAGCTTGTGGCAGGGCATTATTTAGTGGAGGAGAATGGAAAATTGGTAAATACTTAGAGGGAGAAGGTAAGTTCCCTTGTCTGCTTCCCAGCTCATCTACCTGGGACAACCCACTTTGCCATAGATATATGGAAGAGAGTTTGGAGCTCTTTTGCAATGGAAGGAATACCTGTCTTCTGAATAGTTTTAGGAGCATTGTCAGCCCTGAAGATAGACACAAATGCCCAAGATGAGTACTCTGTGGAGGCTGCCAGCACAGAACCCACATCTCATCCTCATACAGTAGACATTGTAGGAAGGAATTAAAAGTTATCACCTGGCATTTCTTTACCCACTTTGAAAGACATCACTTCATTTCTAAATTATGGTCTCTTTATTCCTTCTGAAATTTCCCTTTTCTCACTCCCTTCAAACAGGTGTTTCTTTTAACAAAGAATTCATAACCTTTTTAAAAAATGCACCTTTCAGTGATTTATAGGTCTTTCTTCATCAGAAGAAGTGGCTGACAGGTATTATTCTCCCCGTTTACAGATGGGAGAACTGAGACCCAGGAAGGAGAAGGGAAGGCTCCCTCTGGTAATGTGCGGAACTCACAGAAATTCAGACTTTGCACCTGAGAAGCTGTTGTGCCAAAAGTCATTCATTAAATCAGGAGTGGAAATCAGAACACTTTTTTTTTGCTCCATTTGTGCATAAAGCCATTGGATCACTCCATTTCTGGGTGACTCCCTTAAAAGAGGAGCAGGCCACTACTAATGGTCAAAGAGCAAAGCAAAATATGAGCAAGTCCCTTGGAGTCCTGTGGCCTTTGCATTGGAGCAGGCTGGACATTCTTCCTCCTTTTTGTGCAGGGTAAATCTGCTTGCCAGAGTTCCCAAGTTGGTTTGTGAAACATCATCTATATTAAGAAATTGATAGAAGTAATTCAGGCTCTTAGGAAGAACACCACTTGCCCAGGGCAAAAGCAGATAAGCAATGGGTACTTTATTTCTCTGTATAGCCCACTGCATTCATGGTCATTTCATTTCTACCAGAAAAGCCAGAATGGTTAAAGGATTATTCTCCCCCATCTAACTTCTGTCCTGGAGTGATCTAACTTCTCTTTGCCATTTTCTACTGTTTTTTGGTTTTTTTTTTTTGGTGGCAACTGGGTGCAATTTCTTTTCTGATTATAATTTAAAAATCTGAAATAATAACTACCAGTGTTTGCCAAAATGAGTCAGAACAAAAAAAAGCGTTGGGAGTTTTGAATACTGCATTTCCTACTTTCCCCAAAAAAGGAGAGACTGAGGAAATCACAAGCAGCACAAGTTTGGAAGATTACAGCTAGAACACACACAGCAGATGTTAACAATTCTGGAGCCCTAGCTGACTGGACAAACTAAATGTCTGCTTTACAAATCTCATCTCTTGAAGTCGATGATCACAGCTGTTGATTTCACCAGCTATTGAGCTTCAAAGCATCCCTGTGCTGTAGAGGAAGTGTTCCCATGTGGTCACTAATTGGGAAAGCCAAGGAATGGACTTTACCAGAGGTCTCGTGATCTCTGTGACAGAATCAGTTCTAGAATCCTAAGTGCTTGACTTCTCTTTGGTGCCTGGAACCGCTCAGAATTATAAAAGTGTCAGATTGACCGTGGACATGGATATGGGATTATCTCAGTTCCTCACTGGGCAACAACTCAGACTAAGTGTTGTTGAGGAAATCAAGCAAGGTAATGATAAGAGAAGTACAAATTTACGCAACTCCGAGGTTTCACCTCTCAACCAGCAAATGAGCAAAAATGACAAAATATGGAAATAGTCAGAAGGGCTTCAGGAAGACAGATACACTAATAGACTGTTGGTAAAGTTGAAATTAGGCCAAGTTTTCTGGAAAGCAATTTGAAATTATGCTGAGAAGTCACTAAGATGTCCATACCTTTGACCAAGAGATGAAGACAGAAAGTCTCCAATCTATACTAGAATATTCATAGTACTTTTTATGGTGTCAAAGAATTGGAAACAAAGTAGGCGTCCATTGACTGGGAAATGGATAAACAAAGTATAGTGTATTAATATAATGGAATAATACTGCTTAGAAGAAGTGACAAATATGAAGAATTCAGAGCACTGAAAGACATATGAATTGATGTAGAGTGAAATAAGCATGATCAAGAAAAATGGTATACAGATCTACAATAATAGATCTGGAGAGAACAAGAAATCCCAAACTTAATACCATGCAATTATAATGGCCAAGTGTGATCCCTGAGGAGAGTTGAGAAAATGCACTTTCCTCCCCTCTTTATAGAAGTGTGGGGTGTTACAGTTGTGGAATGTTGCATATGCCATCAGACATGATATGTTCAGTTTATCGAGCTGCTTTTCTTTTCTAATCTTTGTCTTGTGGGTTGGTTAGCCTAGTAGTATAGGGGGGAAGATACATTGAAAAATTTTTGTGT